AGCCTCACCAGCACCAGGTGTGAGTCACACAGGTGAAGGGGCATCGCTGTTTGATCTAAGACAGTGGTGGATGAGAAGAGAGATCAGAACATCCGAGCTCCTTTTCTTTTATCATCTCACAGCCATCCCTGGCCCCCTCCCGCCCCAAACCAAAGCCACCTCTCCACCACACACAACAATTCGAAACATTAGTATCTTCTCATTATAATTCTTCCATGGTTGATCTTAAGAGAGGGAGCAGCGGTTGAATTAGTTCAATCAGAAAGGATTTTGAGTACTTGCTCTGTGCTAGACACTGCTGTAAGCATGTTATCCACGTGAACCCATTTAATCCTCACAACAGCCTTATGAAGCTATATCAGCAGTCCCATTTGATAGATGGGAAAACTGAGATGTGAAGAAGTTAATTAGCTTCCCTAGTGAACTAACCTGTTCAGGACTCTTACCCTGGCAGACTGGCTCCTGCGTGGGCCCTCTTAACCTCTCCCTTGCAGCAGAGGCTGATTTACCCAGCGTCCTCTGTGGACAGATTAGTGTAGTGTTGGCCAGGAATGCCCCGTGGTGTCTAGCTTATGAGATATTGGCTAGAAGAGAGGAAGGAGGGTGACAAGGACGAGGCATTAACGGCCAGCCCTGCTGTCAGCAACACTGGAGCCCAAGCTGGACACAGACTCTGCGTGGGTAGAGGTGAAGGGAGGAGGGCGAGTGAGTATGCATAAGCCCAGCCCTAATGAGCTCTGATGTCATTTCTCTCCGGTAGGGGGTTTGTCTCCGAAGTTGACATGTGATGCAAACTGGGTGGTGTGAAATTCTGCCTGGGTATTCCATGCACTGAGGTTGAAGTCCTTCCAGAGGAAGCATTTGAGTGGGCTGGAGTGGTGACTCTGGCTCGGCAACCACCAGGTGCCTCCCTAGGCAGCTGCTAGGCTGCCAGGACATGCCACTAGACAGGCCTCTTCACACTTCTGCCGCTTTCCTTCTCTCTTCCTTTGCTCTTGGCTGGTCAACGTGTACTGGAGAGTAAGACGCTGCCAGAGGCCCCGGGAAGCATTCTCTAGATGGATAAGATTTGAGGGTGGAAGTCAGCGACTCCGAAGCAGAATGAAGATGATGAGAAAGTGAAACCTCTGACTCCAGTTACTGAGCTCTTAGGGGCTGTGGGCATTTTGAGTTTTAGCCACAACAAGGCTCGTGGCGGGTGTCTTGATTCTTGATGCATGGCTCTTTCTGGTCCCTCATGACGTGCCAGACACCTTTTTAGCTGAGCTTGCTTAAAGAGAATTAGAAGCGGATTTGACGAGCCTCTCCTCCCCCATGGGGGTGCCGGTGGCCTAAGGTTTCAGGCTCCTTATCTGCCTGGAGCTGCCACACGCTTTCTGAGTCACAGCTATTTCACACCATGGCTACCCAGCTGCTGCCCTCCCCCGGACCTCATTCCTTCCCACTTCTTCCTCATTCTTTAATCCATATTTTATACTCCCATTAGCCGCCTTCCTTGTCTCTCTCATGTGGACTCCTCCTGGGTTTTTTTCCCCCTGGGAAATCGGAGAGACCTGAGGACATCTCAAGCTTCATCTGCCTGGGAAAACAAAAAGAAATGAACAGCAATGAGTGCTGCCTGTGTGCCAGAGGTGGCTTGTGGGGCCTTACTGACATTTCTCCACAGATCTCACAACCGCTGGGGAAGGAAATGTCTACCAGGGAAGGTCCTGAGAGGACCAGGCCCAAGGAAGTGATGGCAAAGCCAGGACGCAGACCCACGCTTATCTGCCTCTACAGCCCACACCCTTTCCGTGTTCCTGATGGCCCTGGAGCCCCGGCTTTCTAACCTCATCTCTCCGTTCCCAAGCAGACTGGATATTTTTGCTTCTCCTTAGAACAGAAAGGAAAAAAGAAAGAAAGAGAGAAAGAAAGAGAAAGGAAAGGACCGCCTCCCAGCTCTATGTCTTTTGAAGATCACACTTCTTTCTAGAATGATTAGAAGAACCTGTTTGTTAACTGGAAGGGATCAGATGAGAGCATCTCATTCGGCAGTTATTTTAAAACTTTTAAACCACGGAACCATTTCTTAGAAAATTATCCGGGCATATAAAGTGCACAGGAGTGGTGCTGCTTGAAGTGGCAGCGGGTGGGGAAGTGCCAAAGCCCGGCCTCTCTGCGTCCCTTAAGGCCGAGGCAGCAGCGAGTCAGGGAGCTGAGGTGTCTGCTGAGCACCACTTGACAGCTCCTCCTCACCTCTCAGTGAAGAGACTGTTGGACCTCAGAGGGTGGGGATAAAAGGGAGAGATCAACCAAAGGACTTATGTGCACACATATGAGCCTAACCAGTGGTCAAGGACAATAGTGGGGTGTGGGGGTATAAGGGGGGATTAGAATGGGGGGGGTTGAGGACAAATATGTGATACCTTAATCAATAAAGAAATGAGAGAGAGAGAGAGAAAGAGAGAGAGAGAGAGAGAGAGAGAGAGAGAGAGAAGCAAGTGGAGGCTCAGAGAGGGGCAGTGGCTGGCAAGGTCAGGGCTAGGGCCTGGGCTGTCCAGCGTCTGGCCTGCAGCTTTCTGCAGAAACTCTAGCTTGTGAATCTCTGCAAACCCTGGTCCGGGGAAAGGGGAGAGAGAGGGGAGGGGCCCGGCTTCCTCTTTCTTCCTTCCTCATCAACAACCTGAATTCCCACCCCTCCTGGGGAATAAGGTAGTCACGAGGGGTCAGACCGGGAAACGGGAAGGATGCCGGCAGAGGTACCCGGGAGCATGTGACAGGGAATCAGAAGTAAGAGAAAAGGGTAGGCTGAAAGAGAGAAAAGGGGAGGAGAAAAGAGCCAAGGAGCCTCCACACCAGCCCAGGACCAGGGCTAGCCTATGGTGTGCACCCTGGCCTTGTTCTAGTAGCCCCTCAGGCAAGTCCTGATCCACCCCCCCCCCCCATTTCCTTTGAAGGTTCATCACCCACCAGCAGTGAGCATAGGGATAGGCTCCAGGAGGGGAAGGGTGGTGTCAGAGCGCAGCACACAAGGCAGAATTAGATGCTCAGCTCTGCCTGTGTATCTATAAGGTAGTTCCTGGGCTTAGATTCCTCATCTATAAACCAAGTGGGAGGGGAATCTCTCGAAGTGCCATTGGGCCCCGAAAGATCTGGGACTTGGAGCCTGTGCTTAGGGAGCCTGGGAATGGGCAGATTGCAAGCTTAGGTGCTAACAGGGACCAGGTGCTACATGGCCTAGCAATCTGGTTTTACAGGCGAGAAAACTTGGCCTGCAAAGGCCAACTGACTTTCCTGCCTTCCTCGGCCTGGTTTCCCTTTATCCTCTGAACCATAGTCTCGGGATTCAACTCAAAGCAGTTGTGTGCAGTGGCTAAGCTTTTGTGTGTGTGTGTGTGTGTGTGTGTGTGTGTGTGTGTGTTGTTTTTCTGCACAGTTATTGGCTTCCAACACTTCTTACAAAAACAGCACATGCTCATTATAAAAATTTCCATGAATACAGGAAGTGAAAAAGTATAAAAAACTGACAATTGCTGTCACCGTCCTGTCCTCCCCCTGCAGGTCTCCAGGGGTGTCTCCCGTTAACACTTTGGTGTGTATGTATTCTGAGTTTTCTGAGGAACACACCAACACGTGTGTCTCCTATACATGGGATTGTAGTGTCAGCATTCAAGCATAGGCTTTAGAATCAGATACTCCTGGGTTCTCATGTATCTCATGGCTCATTAGCCTAGTGACCTTGTTAACTATTGCTGCTTTTAGTCTCAATCTCCCCTTGTGAAACATGACAGTAACAATAATATTTACCTAATAGGATAAAGACTTAATGAGAGTTGATAAACACTTAATAGTGTCTGGTACACAGTAAGTACCACACACATACACATACACACACACACACACACACACACACACACACATCCAGATGGCACAGAATGAGTTGGAGATATAGATAGTAAAAATGAGACCTGAATTTTCTGACCTCCAGTCCCATCAACTTCCAGCCATGCCTCTCTACCTCTCTCTCTCATTCTGGTCCCCTGAGCATATGCCAAATGCTCAATACTTGTGTGTGTGTGTTTTTTTAAGTTTTAAAAAAATATATATTTTATTGATTTTTTTTTTTAATAGAGAAGAAGAGAGAGGGATAGAGAGTTAGAAACATCGATGAGAGAGAATCATCAACGAACTGTCTCTTGTTCACCCCCTACTGGGGATGTGCCCGCAACCAAGGTACATGCCCTTGACCAGAATCGAACCTGGGACCTTTTAGTCAGCAGGCCAACGCTCTATCCACTGAGCCAAACCAGTTTCAGCTGCTCAATACTTGTTGAGTGAATGGATAAAGTTTGTGGGGACCCGAGACCTGTGGAGTTCCCAGGGTGCCTGCTCTGGAGGATGGAGGATTCGCCCTATGGATTGGGAGGGGGTGGCACAGCATGCATTGGCCGGGCCAGCTGCTGCTTCAGGGCTTCAGGCCTGAGAGCTGAGCCTCAGGACAGCGTGGAGGCCCCAAAGTGGCTCTCAGCTTAAAGGATCCTGGCTCCAGAGGAATGTGCAGTGGGCTGCCTCCGCTCAGGAGGGGCTAAAAAAAGCCTGACCCGCCCCTGGGCTTTGTGTGAGGGTTATCAACTGCTCAAGTCAGCTCATCTCTCTGGCTGGGCACCGGCATTTTTGAGAGAGCCTGTGTTCCTGGCCCCTCTGGGTGTCCAACAATTGGCAGGAAGGGGTCAGTCAGTGTGTCCCAGAGGTAGAGGCTGTGAGGGGTGTGAGGGGGAGGGGAAAGGGGGAGGGGGCTGGGAGCACCAAACCTGGTGACAATACACAGTTGTCAGCTGTCCCCTGCTGGTGTTTCTTCCTTTTATAGTCAGCAGCAGCTGCTCTTGCTCTCGCCCAGGCCCTCTGTGGGGGCTCCTGCCCAGGATAAAAGGGGAGGGAGGCGGCCCAGTCTCCCATCTCGGTTCCCAGGTGCCACATCTCTTGAATCCTCCCTAGGTGCTGCCTCCACTGAAGACCTCAGCATGCCTCCCAAGAAGCCTGAGCCTAAGAAGGAGGCGGCCAAGGCGGCCCCAGCCCCGGCCCCGGCCCCCGAGCCCCCCAAGGAATCTGCCTTTGACCCCAAGAGTGTAAAGGTGAGTGAGCCTCAGCCCCGGGTGTAGGGGTGGGGATGATATTCAGGGTCCTATTGGCCTGAAGCTTAGAGATCCACTTCAAGAAGGCTGGACTGGGGTGAGGCTATGGGGTCCCTGCCCCAGATCACAGTCCTGGGGGTGGGGTGGGGTGGGGACAGATGCTGGGGTGGTGCTGGGGCTGTTTTGGGTTGTAGGTCTTGCCCCTCGAGAAGAACAGGTTTCCCAGCAGAGTTGGGAATGGCAGGGAAATGCAACCTTTCCACCTTTTTAAGGCACCTTGGGGCTGCCACGGTGAAGTGAAAGGGCCCTTTCCCCAGAGGTATTGACAGTATGATTTCTACGCGGAAAAAAGACACACAACCAGAGCGGCCAGTGGGACGCGGAGTCAGTGGTGTCAGCAATGTGCTCCCTGCGCCTGGCGAAGGCTTCCCTCTCAGTCTCTTGCCATGGGTGGGGGTCGGGGAGGCTCTGGATAAGGTGAGAGAAACCCGGTCCCCTCGCCTCTCCTCCGCCAGGGGTGCAGCTCCTTCTGTGGCCGCAGCCTGGGCCCCCGGCTGGCAGCTGCCCAGCACGGCCCTCCCCAGCCGAGGCCCTCTCTCTAACCTGGTGAGGCTGCTGACCCCGCGTCCTCCGCCACCCCAGCCCTGTCCCCGCTCTGCCCCGCCCTGTCCCGATTGGCAGACTCTCTTTCCGGAGCTGGTGCAGGCCCTGCCGCTGGCGCAGTCCTTTCAGGCCGCCCGGCTCTGGCGCAGCTGCCGAAGGAATGGACCTGGGAGGGGAAAGGCCCAGGAAGGAGCGGGTCAGAGGCCTCTGGAGAGCGAAGCAGTTTTAAGCCTTGGCACCCGGATGTAAGAGGGCAACCGGCCACTGGTATGAGGAGCTATTAATAACAGGCTGGGCGTGGTGGGCCCCTGGAAATACCAGCCTCAGGTCAGGGCTGGGTGGGGAGGAACCAGAGCGAAAGAAGAGCCCAGGAGTGGGTTCTGGGACAAGAAGGCAGGAGACGAAAACCTCAGCTGTCATCGGATGACCCTCCCTGGCCCTCATAAGGTTCCTCCGGCTCCCACAGCCCCAGAGACCCAGCAGTTGTGCCAGTGCTGCCAAGGGGCAGGAGTTAAGCAGAACTGGCTTGGCCAAGAGATGAAGGCAGTTGCCCCATTCCTGAGCTTGGTTATGGCACCACTCTGGGGAAACTGAGGCCCCGTGTAGGATCTTAAAAACCCCTGTAGGCACTCTAGGACATACATCATTCTAGGGGCAGGGCCTGGCAAGAAAAGCTGACTATCTGGCTTGTGGACTGAAGGATCCCAGGTTCGATTCCAGTCAAAGGGAACAGGCCTGGGTGGTGGCCGATCCCCAGTAGGGGGCGTGCAGGAGGCAGCCGATCAATGATTCTCTATCATCATTGATATTTCTATCTCTCTCTTTCCCTCTTCCTTTCTCTCTGAAATAAATAAAAATATATTAAAAAAAAAAAAAAAAAGCTGACTATCTCCCTGGCAGGATGCCTTTATTTCTGATTTGTTCTCTCAATGCACCACTCCTGGGCCTGGTGTCTGGACAGCAGCTGCCTAGTAGTATCAGATGAGTGTCTTCCTCTAGGCTGATAACGTCCCTCCATCCATCCACCTCCCCTGATTTCTTTTCCCTGGCTTCAATCCTCTTTTCCATGTCTAGATCTTCTACTTCTGGAGTTTTTTAAAGTTACTGTAAAGTAGAAAAAAAAAAAAAGTAGGTGTCTTTCCTGAAGGCTATTTTTTTTTCTTATTATTTGTACTTCTCAGTTCCTTTGCTTAAAAGGTTCTTTGCTCAACGAAAGAGTAAATGTAACAACCCCAGTGTGTGTGGTTCTGACCATATTCTGATATTATGTCTTTCTACAAATATTTCTTACATGTGTGCTACTGGGACTTAAAGAATTGCCAAGTAAAGAGAACTGTACCTTTTCCTCAGAGAGTTCATGCAAAGCATCCTTTAGCCCATTTGGGGGATTTAATTCCTGACCCTTCCCCGTAGTGACGCCCCACCCACCCACCCTGCCCCCGGCCGCCTTTGGCAGAGTCCATTCCTGGGCACAGCTAGTTTCCTTCCCATCCTGCTCTCCTGCTCTCCTAGCTCATTCCAGCCACCTGCAGGGGCCCTCGTTAATGAAGGTCAGCCTGGGTGGGCACAGCAAGCTCAGAATTAGGATTTAGGAAAGGTGGTACATGAAGTAGATGCTCCAAGACTGGTTACCACGAGCAGCAGAGAGGGGATTTTGGGTACAGTGGAGGTGGTGTATAAGGACAATGTAAAAACATACAAGATCCTAAGTGGAAATGATGAATCATGCTTGGTCATCGTCATTTATTTTCAAAGCCTCCTACCTTCCTCCTGGTTATTCAGATTTGAGCTGTTATGCATTGGGGGCAGGAGTGGGGGAGAGGGAGAATCCAAAGTTTATTCTTTGCTCAATAAATATTTTTTGAGTGCACACTCAATGCCAGGAATTTCCACGAGCAACAAGGAGCCAGGATACACATACAGGCATGACTGAAAAACAGTCACGAAGTGTCCAGGGTCCACTCAAACCGCTCTTGCTGCCCCAGAGTGCCTAAGCGGAATGTGTGCTAGGGAGGGGCTGGATGGAATGGGTGAGGGGAGGCTTCACTGAAGGAGGTGACTTGAAGTCAATAAGGTAGAAAAGGGAGGCCAAGCCCTGCCTAGTGTGGCTCAGTGGTAGAGCATCAGCCTGAACACTGAAGGGTCTCAGGTTTGATTCCTGGTCAGGGGCATGTACCTGGGTTGCAGGTTCGATATTTCTCTCTCTGTCTCTCTCTCCCCCTCAGCCCTCCCCTCCACTTTCTCTAAAAATCAATGGAAAAAATCTCCTCTGGTGAAGATTAACAAAACAAACAAACAAACAAACAAAAACAAAAAAAGAAAGGAAAGAAAAAAAAAAAAAAAAGGAAAGGGAGACCAAGGGTGAGGTGTGGAGGTGCCCAAAGGGAGAGAAAGTGTGGCTTGTGGAGGATTGTGGAGCAGGCAGAGTCTGAAGGGATGAGAGTGAAGTCAGTTTATGGCTGACAGGACAAGGAATTCACATTTGACACCAAGAAATTAGAGTTGGGAGTGGGTGTATGTTCTAGAGCTACCCGGTAAGTGGGAATCATCACTTACCAAGTGTTCTGAGAGAGACTTGAAGGTTGCATTATTTTATAGCCTGTCAGTAGCGTCCCATTCATCGGGAGACCGGTGTGTTACATTTAGCCCGCAGACTCCTCCTTCCTCATCAGTGGCCTGTTGGAGGTGACCAGACTGCGGGGGAAGCCACTTCTGCTTCCCTTTGGAAACTTTGCCAGTCTCACTCCTCTGTTTCTCTCCCCGCAGATAGACTTCACTGCTGACCAGATCGAAGGTGAGTACTAATAGCTCCCTTCCCCCTCTCCCGCCCACACATACCCTCTCTGTTGCACTTTCTAGAGAAAGAGAGGAGGAGGACTTGTCATCACCATAATAGTAATCATCATCATTATCATAATAGCAAGCATGTATGCTGTTGATTTGCTATTTGCTCACTTTTGCCTACTACATGTTATTACTTAAGCCTGCATTAACTCATTTAATTCTCACAACAAGCCTGAGAGATGGGGACTATTACCACCCCATTTTACAGGTGACAAAGCTGAGGCTCAGGGAGGTTGGGTGGCTTAGAGAAGATCCAAACTCTGGCAATCTGATTCCAGATCTACTAGTAGTTCTCAACTGCTCTGCCAGACCACCTGGAACGTAATAGATGCCTAGCAAAAATGCCCTTTTCCTCATCCACACCCCAAATCTACTCTCTTAACATATTTAAAAGCCCTCATTCCTGTTCCTTTGGGTTACCACTTCCTCTTCCTTCCTCTTGAAATCTGCCAAGATGCTCACCCACTAATGGTGACAGGGCCAAAAGTGATTTGGGACTGCCCTAGTACCCCTGTGATCTCCGTTAGCAATGCTTCTCCATCTTTGATGAAGACAATTTATTTTTCTCAATCTTATGTAAAGTGGTACTTAGTGTAGCTTCCAGACAAGCTTCAAGATCTCCATCTGTGTGTATTTTGGATATTAACCTCTTATCAGATGGATGGTTTGCAAATATTTTCTCCCATTCCATAGATTCATAGATTGCCATTTCATCCTGTTTGTGTTTTTTTGTTTTTGTTTTTTGTTTGTTTTTTGCTGGGCAGTAAAGCTTTTTAGTTTGATGTAGTCCCACTTGCTTTAAAATAATTTTATTATTTTTCTAACCCAAAGGGGATGGTAGAAAACTAGAAGAATACAAACAAGTACAAAAAATGACCAGTTCCTCAATAGCATATGTAAAATGAACATTTATACAGGGTGTCCCAAAAATGTATAGATACTTTAACAGCTGACAGCTCAATTTTGAAAAAGAAATGTATTTTAATAAACACTGCTTATATAATTAAAAAAAAAAAAGATCTCCATCCACCCTCCAATGTGATGGTTGCCCCTTAGCCCATCTTCTGGAGTTTTGACTTCCTTCTCTCGTCCCTCCCCAGATTTTCATGTCCTTCCAGAAAGGGGTTACCACCGTTGCTCATTGCTCTAGCAAGCAGCCCACTGCTACAGACTGCTGAGAAAAGGTTTCTTTCTATTAGCATCACTTTTCAAGCTCACCCTGGTTTTGTTTTTCTCTGGTATCAATCCTAAACTCCAGAGCGTGGTTTTTATGTGCATGTGATTCCTTTTGAGCAGGTATCTGTGGTGGGCTGTTTCTCTGTTTTCCGTGTCTATCATGGAAAACGACAAGTTCCTGAGTGGGGGAACTGGGGATTAAGAAATTAGAGAAAGAAGAAAGAGACATGGAGGCAGAAATAGATTCATCAAGCTGGGCGATAGGTGGGCGCCATCCTCTCTGATAGAGAGGCAGCAAAGGCGACCCCCAAGCCATGCGGCAGGTTTATTTATAGGGTCAAAGGAGCTTATTTGCATTCTTAACTAGGCCCTAGCATTACTGGATTTACATATCTAGACCCGCCCCTGCTGACACCTGGACAAAGGTGCTCTGCCAGTGCCTTGGGCTCAGCTGACAATTTAAAGAATGTCTCAGGCGGCCCGGCCCTCTACAATTATCGCGTTGCAGAGTGCTCCACATATTGCCATCTCATTTGACACTCTCCGAAACTGGGGGTGGAGCATTAGCAGTTGCTGCAAGTCTCTTCCTTCTCCTTCCTCCTGGCCATTTCCTTGGTTTCCTTAACAGCTGGTCAGAAGTCACATCTGCATTGGTCCAAAATGAGGGCAATAATACCTATAGCATAAAGTTTTAGTAAAGATGAATGAGATAATCCATGAAAAATTATCCGCTTAGAGCCTAGCCCACAGTGAGTTCTCAAATCATAGGCTGTTCTTATTCCTTTCCTCTTCATGTTACATCCTCCTATTAGGTATCAGTATGGTCTTCTTTTATGAAGAGACTACTTCTTTTATTAGATCCGACCTGCCTCTTCTGAGTGAGCCAGGAGAAGATCAAAAAGTCTGAGTTCAGAGTCAGTTCAGAGCATTGAATTTGTGCTGGAAGGCAAGCTAATTGCTTCAAAGGTTAAAAAAAAAAAAAAATTAAACCCTCCAACAAAAATGTGAGATTGGTGTTATTTCCTTAGTATAGAGAAAACCTAGGTTTGTTGAGGTGAAGTGACTTGGTCACATAGTTAAATGGCGAAATTGGGATTAAACTCAGTAAAATAATACTAATAACATTGGCTGAGGATTTAATATGTGCCATTCATTGTGTTAAGGGTTTTTACATAAATTATTGTATTTAATTTGGATGTAATTAAGAAACCCTGTGAGACAGGTGCCATTTATAGAAGAGGTTGTATAAAGGTTAAATATTTACTTTCCCAAAGCCACACAGCTGGTAAGCAATGAAATGGAATTTGAACTCAATTATTCATTAATGTGACAGACATGCGGTTCTCTATCTTTTAAATCCCCCCAAAGCTTAATAAAGAGGTGCAAGCAAACGTTTTGGGGAACCAGCTTTGACATGTGGAATGATTTGTAAGTAATCCATGTGTAGCCTCTAAGTAAATAATTGTTTCTAATGTACTCAGAGAGGATTAAACACAGCTTTTTCTCCTAAGAAGTTTACACATTCTTCTTTGGTTTATATTGTTAATCTGCTTAGTAAACTATTTCTCTGTGGATAAGGTAACTTCCATGCCATTCCCAGTCCAAATTATCCCCAGTAATGAATTGCTCGAATCCAAATGAGTGAGGAATTAAGGTTCTTTGCAAGGGCCCAGGAGTGCCTTAGTTCAGCCTGGTCCGTGGACATCTGCCCCGGTCCCTTCAGGGAGTGTAGTCCTTGTAGATTTAAGCTGGCTTGAGAACCAGGAAATCCTCCATCGGACCCAGCAACCCGCTCAGGTGAACATTGTATCCCCCTTAGAGCTAAAAAAAAAAAAAAAAAAAAAAAAAAGAACACTCAGAGGTTAGAGGTTGGCCTGAGGCCCTGTGCTGCTCCGTGGCCCAGTCGGTAGGTCTGTTTCCACCGTGTCGTCTTGTCTGGCCCGGGAGCCCTCGTTTCGCCTGGAACAGGAAGTACTGGCGATAACTAGCTGACTTTTGGACAGGTGTTATCACTTCGCAGAGGGCCTTCTCCATGTGTGCCATCTCCTTTGACACCCCCAGTACCTGGGAGTGCCGCTGAGTGGCGCTGTTGCTCCCTGTGGTGCCAAGAAAACAGACCCTGCAGGCTGCTCCTGCCAGAGAACCCAGAACCAACGCTGTTTTCACTTCCCTGACATTTTCAACCGTCAGGATCCTCGCCTGCACCTGGGGAGGAGGGGTGGGTGGGAGGGCTGGAAGCAGGGGGGGGGCACTCATTAGGTGACAACCGACTGATAGCAGAGGTCATGGGGGCTCTAGGCCGCCTCTTTAGTTGTCAGAAGACAGGGTAGGTGTGGGCTCCGGGGAAGAGCCGGGAGGGGAATACTGAAACATTTTAAATATATATGTTGTATTGATTTTTTTTTTTTTTTTTTTTTTTTTTTTTACAAAGAGGAAGGGAGAGGGATAGTGAGTTAGGAACATCCATGAGAGAGAAACACCAATCAGCTGCCTCCTGCACACCCCGCACTGGGGATGTGCCCGCCACCAAGGTACATGCCCTTGACCAGAATCGAACCTGGGACCCTTCAGTCCGCAGGCCGACGCTCTATCTACTGAGCCACACCGGCCAGGGCGATACTGAAACATTTTATAAGCCACATCGGGCTGCCCGGGGGTAGGGGGTGTGTGTGGGGGGTGGCTGATCAGCCCTCAGCCACTGCCTTCCCCCCGGCCCGGGGGGCTGAGCTGGGTCTTCTCTCTGCAGAGTTCAAAGAGGCCTTCTCGCTGTTTGACCGGACCCCGACCGGGGAGATGAAGATCGCCTACGCGCAGTGCGGGGACGTGCTGCGGGCGCTGGGCCAGAACCCCACCAACGCCGAGGTGCTGCGCGTGCTGGGCAAGCCCAAGCCCGAAGGTCAGCCTCCCCCTTCTCCCCTGCATCCCTCCACCACCAGCCTCCCCTCCCCACCTAGCTGACCCTTGAAGAATGCGGCCTGGCCTTGCTCCTGGAGGGCAAAGCGACATTCTATCTTCCTCTGACACTCCAGGGAGCCAGGACACCGGGGAGGGAGGCCGGGCGGGAACCTGATAACTAACCACCCGCCCCCACTCCCCACCCGGAGCCCGTGGTCTGGGTGTCACAGCCCCGAGATACCCTGCGACCCTGGTGAGTTTTACCACAAGGTAATCTGTGTCTGATCATGGCCAGAGCACTGGGGGTTTCAAATAAATTAGAGTAGCTTCGAGATGAGCTCTAGAAGGATGCCTCTTTCAACTCATTTGCATTCGGCCAATGGGGGTTTAGAAAGTGGTGCCAGGGAGTGTGCTTCATGGGTGAATGCCATCTGTCACGTGGGGCAGTCACGTGACCAGCTGCTCCTGCCCCAGGTCATGCTCCTCAGAGGTGATGGCACTAGGTGGGGGCCAGCCAGACCTGAGCAGGAGCACCCCACCCAGGCTTCCTGGGCCCTGCATTGGTCCCCACCCCCTTCCTTCGTTCTGACCCCTCTCGTCCTACTTCTGCTGGTGCAGAAACCAGTGCAGGGTGAAGGAGGTGGGCAGGAAAGGGCCAGAGGACCAGGAGCTTGTTCAGGTCAGCAGGGTTTCTTAGGGGTCAAAAGATATCTGGGCACTTCCGGTTTACTGGCTTGTTACAAGAGAGAGTCCAGCCGGTGTGGCTCAGTGGTTGAACATCCATCTGTGGACCAGAAGGTCACGGGATTCCCCGTCAGGGCACATGCCTGGGGTTGCTGGCTCCATCCCCATCACGGGGAGGCAGCTGATTGACGAGTCTTCCTCATTATTGATGTTTTTTCCTCTCTCTCTCCCTCCCTCTCCTTTCCTCTCTGAAATCAATTAAAAAATATTTTTAAAAAAATGGTTTACATCTATTACATTGAAGCTTTTTAACACACTACAACGGGGGAGAAGTGTACTAGTCACAAGAGGATTGTAAATTTATAAAAATTATTGCTTCAGATAGCTCTAGTAATGAGCCCCAAAGGCTGAGTTACGCAAAATAAAAATAAAAAAATTTTATTTCATTTTTTGCAATCCTAGCAGTTTACCTTTGGGCCCCTCAGATTCTGCGGCTGACACCCTCAGCTCCCCACCTGGCTGCCACCGGGAGCTCCGAGGTCTGGTGGCTCCTTTTCGCTCCTGCCCTTTCACTGAGACCAGTGCCCTGGAGCCAGCCTCCTGCCTTGCTCCTGTGGGCTCTGGGCCCTCCAGGATCACTGGGTGTCCCACCCACAAGTGGCTGCAGCTAAGCCCTGGGTGTTGTCAGGGACGGGTCCTCCTCAGCAGAGCTGGTCCTACTCAGCAGAGTCAGGCAATATAGGGGGGACAGAGGTTTAAGGGGACAAGAGGGCAATAAAGAGCTGAAAAGGGCCAAGTTCTATGACTGATTTTTAAAAAATATATATATATTTTATATATATGAGCTTTATATAAAGCCTTCTCTGCTCCCCACGTGATTCTGCTCACGTCACTCCTCTTTCCTCCCCGTGCGCCTGAAGAGATGAATGCCAAGATGCTGGACTTTGAGACGTTCCTGCCCATCCTGCAGCACATCTCCCGCAACAAGGAGCAGGGCACCTACGAGGACTTCGTGGAGGGGCTGCGCGTGTTCGACAAGGAGAGCAACGGCACGGTCATGGGCGCCGAGCTCCGCCACGTCCTTGCCACCCTGGGTATGCCAGCCGGGCAGAAGCAGGATGGAGGGGCGGGAGGTGCCCAGCGGGCAGGTCTGGGGAGCCCCTTTGTCCTGAGGATCACATCCTGGTCCAGCCCTGGCTCCCTGGGCTCGGCAGGTACAGCCTGCCCCGGCTGGGTCTGGCAGAGAGGGGAGCAGGTTGGCAGAGCAGGGGTGATGGCTGAGGCCTGAGAGGTGGGACCCAGGGCTCCTGACCTTACCTTTGCCTGGGTCCCCGGGTCCCTGGGTCCCTGGGGCCCTGGGGCCTTGGTCTGTTCACCCAGGGAGAGCTGCAGGCGGAGCCAGAGGCCTGGGGCCTAGGAAGGGCCGTAAGACCCTGGGCTCCACTCTCCAGTGCCTTTGTGGGAGGAATGGTGTGACCACTTCCCAGGTCGGGAAGTCCTGGGGTGTGTTTGGGTTTTTCCTGTCCCTCCTTTGCCATCTGCAACTAAGAGCCTCCTGCCTCCCACCCCAGGAGAGAAGATGACTGAGGCGGAAGTGGAGCAGCTGTTAGCTGGGCAGGAGGATGCCAATGGCTGCATCAATTACGAAGGTATCAGGTCATGCCTGCTTTCCCGGGTACCCAGGGGAGGAGGGGCAAGCACAGTGTGGGCCGGGCCGCTGCCCAGGAGAACAGATCCAGGAACCAGTGGACGTGGCTTTGGTGTTGGTCCTTTCCATCCTGGTAGAATGGGAGAAGCATGGAATTTGGAGATAGTCCTGTGATATCACCTTGATTAAGTCACTTACCTTCTCTGAGCCTCCGTTTTCTCATCTGAGAAATGGGGTGATGCAGGTACCCTTCTCCAGGTTGTGGGACTAGTGAAGGTAATGCATTTCATTTATGGTGAGTATCAGCACAGAGTGGACAGAGAGCACAGTTGAGGTCTCTTCCCTCTTCCAGCTCCTCCCACCAATCCCCGAATAAGAGAAAGAATCACAGTCTGGAGAAGGGGTCGTGGGAAGGTTTGAAGTCAGGCAATGTAGGGAGGGGGGAGAGGTTAAGGGGCCAAGAGGACAATAAAGAGCTGAGAAGGGCCAAGTTCTATGGCTGATTTAAAAAAAATATATTTTTATTGATTTCAAAGAGGGAGAGAGAGAGAAAATCAACGACGAGAGAGAATCTATTGGCTGCCTCTTGCATGCCTCCCACTGGGGATCGAGCCCACAATCCAGACATGTGCCCTTGACTGGAATCATACCAGGGACCCTTCAGTCCAGACGGACGCTCTATCCACTGAGCTATCCAGCTGGGGCCAACGGCTGATTTTTGTCTTCTTTCCCAGCCTTTGTCAAGCACATCATGTCTGGGTGAAGCAGCCCCTCCAGGGTGAGTACAACCTCTCGAACCTGGTCCTTTCTGGGGCCACGGAGGGAACAACATCGCACGCCCCAGACTGTTGTGTCCCAGCCCTGACCTGGAAGAGGAAACCGCAGGGGATGACGACTAGAGCCCAGCCTCTTCCGTCATTTCCTCTCCACCCTCTCTGCGCCTGCCTCCTCTCCTCATTCCCTTCCTCCCAGGCTCCTGTCCTCCCTGGTCTTTGCACCCTATCTTCTTGACTCTCATCAGCCACATCCTCCTGCCTCTCCCAGGGCCTCTCAGGGCCAGACCATTTTCTCCCTCAGGCCTGGGGCCGCTTGTCCAGGTTCTGGTGGATGAGAAAGCCACATCCCAGGTGGAAGGAGTGCCCCTGGCCTTGCTCTTGAGTCTGTTCCTCACTCTCTTTTCTGTGCTCCCCTGGGCTTGGTGCCATCCTGATAGGGATGTGGGGTCTGTTATGGGCATGGGGGGAGGGGGGGAGGAACTGGGTATGGAGGGACAGATGCCCTTTCCATCTAGCACTTTCTTCCAGGTGCCTGGCCCTTGGACCTAGCCCTCCCAGGGTGAGTTTGTGAGAGGCCCTGAGGGACTGAGCTGGAGAGGAATCCTGGACTCGTCACTGCACCACAGGAGGGCCTCCTGGGCCCACAGCCCTCCCTGCAAATAAACATTCCAGCAAGGCTGGGCCATGTTCCCTGATCCCCACCAGTCTCTGAGTTGTTTTTTTAAACACTAATTAATTTAGGGGTGTGTGTGTGTGTGTGTGTGTGTGTGTGTGAGAGAGAGAGAGAGAGAGAGAGAGAGAGAGAGGGGCCTGGTGTGTATTCCTCAGAGAAAATAAGTGGTAGTATCATGAGTGTACATGCCAAGTAGTATCCCTTGTCCTTGGCATGTGCACTCAGCCCACTGTTCCAATGCCAGGAGCTGTTTCAAGGACACGGCCTTGACAGAGCAGTGTGCTGTTGAGACCATCTGGACTGTGTGTGACTGAGCCCCATTAGAGTCTCTACATAAACTTGGAAGGTTCTGGTGGGCCGGTGCAGAGACCCACTTACCTTTACTGCCCCAAACAAGCCTCATACGTAAGTCCCCTTTCTTATTAAACCTGCGACTTACCAATCTGGAGGGTCTGCCTCTTTCTCCTTGTCTTCCGTGTACAGAGTTCACTTTGCAAACCAACAGCATAATATTAATATTCAGAAAACACCAGTTTCATAAAATATCTTCCCTAATTAGGATTCACAAAACCTCCCTGAGGCCTACTGGTCATTCTGAAACCCTCCTGCCAGTGTCTAAGGCCTTCCTTTATTTGCCCCAGGCTCCTAGGAACACTACTTGTAGCAGCCAGCTGACCTCTTTCCCCTCTGTTAGCTCCCTGCGCTGCCCCCTCTTCTCCTCCTTCTCCATCTCTCCTCTCCCTCCTCCCTTCTTGCTTGACCCATGTTATTCCTACCTCCTGATGTGCACTCCTCTTTCTGCGCAAAGTATGACTACCCTTTGGAATTTTCCCACTGCCAGAGGTCTCTGCTAATTAGCAATGGCCATAATTTAGTCTCCTTAGCAGTGTTTCCTGAACTTCTCTCATGATGAGAATCACCTGGTGGAGCTGTTAAACTACAGATTCCTGAATCCCAACTAAGAAGTGCTAAACTAGAATTTTTGGGAACATATAAGTAAAATTGCTTACAGAGCACTAAGTTAAATATACAATTTTACCTATATGTTCCCAAAAATTCTAGTTTAGCACTTCTTAGTTGGGATTCAGGAATCTGTAGTTTAACAACTCCACCAGGTGATTCTCATCATGAGAGAAGTTTGGGAAACACTGCAATGCAATCACTAAATTTGGAGATATCAGAGCTAGAGGAGACTTCACAGTAAAGTGTAATCACCTGAGACTAAGCCTGGAGAGTTCTAATATCATCACCTGAGAGCAGAGCAGCATCTAGCATGGTGCCATCCTGTGCTTGACTTCCTGTAGGTTAAAAGCTTTTTGGTTACGAGGGCTTTTAAGGTAGAATGTGTGTTTGTGAAGATGGCCAATGACGCAACATCGGCCTCACACCACTAGATGGCACAATTGCAGCAGCATGCTTTCAACAAGACGCCCAGGTGTGTGATTACATGAGCTCCGTTTCTTCTTAGCAACGTAGTGTCACATGTTACAGTTGGGAAATTAATCTTCTTGACAGAAAAGACAGAGCTGAGGTCAAAATAGAGGTTGGGATGATGTCACACTGCCAGCCCTTCCTGTTTTTGGTGCTATGAACGCAAGTACAGCCTGTTTTTGTTCGTTTTAACATGAAGCAAAAAAAAAAAAAAAAAAAAAAAAAAAAAAAATCCCACCTCGTTTGGACTTATGCCTTCTTGGCCTTCTCTCACAGTCCTGTGCCACAACTTTTTAAATTTTTTAAAAAAATTTTTATTGATTTTGTACAGAGAGGAAGGGAGAGAGATAGAGTTAGAAACATTGATGAGTCATCGATCAGCTGCCTCTTGCACACCCCTTACTGGGGATGTGCCCGAAACTAAGGTACATGCCTTTGACTGGAATCGAACCCGAGGCTCTCAGTCCCCAAGCCGACGCTCTATCCATTGAGCCAAACCGGTTTCGGCTGTGCCACAACTTTTACTAATAATTTGCTGCTGGCTACTCCTCCTTCCATCCGTGATGGATAAGATCCCTGCAGAACTGTCATTCCTCAGCTCCATTGTTTAGTCCCTTCCCCGCCTGTTTCCTTTTTTATTTTTAAAAAAATATATTTTATTGATTTTTTTTACATAGAGGAAGGGAAAAGGATAGAGTTAGAAACATGGGATGAGAAACATTGATCAGCTGCCTCCTGCACACCCCCTACTGGGGATGTGCCTGCAACCAAGCTACATGCCCTTGACCGGAATCAAACCTGGGACCTTTGAGTCTGTAGGCCGTCGCTCTATCCACTGAGCCAAACCAGTCAGGGCCTGTTTCCTTTTTTAGTTGTTTGCCATTTTGCTGTGAGCACCAGCCGTTCCTCTGGTGACCAGACCAGAGATTCTTTACCCTGAAGACCCTTGTGGGAACATTTATCCTCTTTTTCCAAGGAGAGGATTTTCATGTTATTTCCAAAGGGGTCAGAGACTCCACAGAGGGTAAGAACCGCTGTGTCAGAGCCTTTGTGGGATCTGTTTATCTTTCCCCTGAGAGTTTTGACATTGCATCTGCTGTGGCCAGCCTTCCTTCCGGGCAGCCATGTGCTCTAAGATAGTTCGCCTCCTTCTCCCCGCCCTCTCCTCTCTTCCACCTCTCCCCTGGCCATTCCTTGGGTCACACTTAGGTTTAGAGAGGAAGTTCCACCTTTTACTTCTTTCGAGGCCTCGAGGCCTGCTCTTCGCTGAATGAGGATTCCGACCAAGTTCCTCTGATCTTGCCTCAGACTCTGTGGGATCTGCCTGGGGCATTCCTCCCCCCAGCGGGAGCCCAGCGCCCACAGGCATCCCTGTGGTCACTCTGCTCCTCTGTCCCTTTATTGGGTTTCCACGGCCTCCACCGGGCTTCCTCCCTCAGACATGTGGGCTCCTTGTGCATGTAACTCTTCTTGAAGGTCAGCCCTCACATGCCCACTGTCCCACCCGTTTAATTGTTCTTGTAACGGAGCCCAGCATCCAATGGAGATGCTTCCCATCTCACACACTTTTGGTCATTTTGCATTTGCATAACTCCTTTATGGTGTTACGAGGGACAGACATGTCATTTTGTAACCCAGGGCCATGGTCAGCGTAGGAACAAAGTTAATGATGTCCTTGCCTCGGTGTTCTCTGTGGCGTGTGAACTTTGCTCTCTGCTTCTGAGGACTGGAAACAGTCTCACAGCGCTGGCCTCAGGGCTCCCTCGACTTCCATCCCCTGGGGTTCACAGCAGAGTCCAAAGGAAGGTTGCCTTGGCCCCACCCTTGTTCCCATTCCATTTCCACCCACACTTCAGCTCTCAGCTCGCCCCCCCCCCCCCCCCCTGTGCTCTGCATGCTAAGGAGAAGCCAGAGGTCAAAGACCAAGCATTCAAAAGCGTGGTCACCAGCGAGAATGTGGAGAGAGCTCTTTGGTATGGCAGTTCGTTTCACAATAGTTTACTTGCTGCATTTTATGGCTGGCACGGAGAGAATGGGGTTTGATTCAGAATTGAGTCTTTGTGATATTTGGTCAGGGTCTAATTTCTTATAATGGCCCGCTGGCATTTTGCCAGGCCCCTGGTGTTTATCAAATCAAACAGGACCTGGTTCTTGCCCTCAAGGAATAGCAAGACTGAGAGGTAAGCTAAACCATGTACTGGGCACAAGTACAAAAACATATCAAGTAGAAGGCAAAGGCTCTCAGATACTAATAAAGAAGTGGCGGAATTTTAAAGGGAGAAGCAAGATTATTTCCTGTTGGGAGATGAGAGAAGGCTCTTTGGAGGACGAGAAGCTGGCACTGACACGGTAGAGGGTGATTTTGACACACAGAGGCAGTAGGCAGCAGTTAAGAGTGTCTTCTCAGGTCAGGATGAGTCTACACGAGCTGTGTGAACCTTGGGCAAGTTTCTCACCAAACCTCCATTTCCTGGTCTATAACACCCAGAGAATACCAGTCCTGACCCCATAAACGAGTTAATACCTGTAAAGCACTTAAAACAGTGTCTGTAACATATTACTAAGAACTCAATACATATTAGCTCTGGTGGGGAGAAGGGTATTTTAGGCAGAGGCATAGCTCTAGCGGAAGGAGGAAAAGGAAGCAACTATCATTCTTTTGGGAAACCCTCAAATAATAGAAATACCTGGGGGACAAATGGAGAGAGAAACAGTGCTCATCATTGTTGACCCTTCATGCATACTTACCCGTGCTTCCAGGGCATTGCCCCAATACTCTTCCTGGGGCAGGTGCAATTACCCGCATTCTACAAGCTAGGAAACTGAGGCTGATAGAGGTTAACTAGCCCTCACAGGGGCACCAGCAAGTGAGTGTGTTGGAAG